GCTGGTGGGAAGGTTGTACCTGATCCTATAGTTTGTGAGAAAATCACTTCCAATGTCATGTGCGATGATGAAGATGATGACATTTATCCAGCCTGTGCTGTTACTAGAGCGATGGCCAGAAGACGAGAAATGGAGGCAGACCATACTCAAGCCATTGACGAGACGAATTCCTCTGTTGACATTGATTTGAATGACACTTTCTTATCTGACCTTGATGGCACTCAAACAAGCATGGAACCACACAATATCAAGAAGCAAGAGAAGAAAGAACTTTTACCAAAATTTGGTGGTGAGGATGATGAGTTGCATCCACTAGTTAGCCAAGGCAAGGACATCCTCAGCCAAGAACGTTTACTCTCTGAACAACATAAAGACCCAGATATCGTTCAACTTAGTAAGAGGGCACTTCAACCAGAAGAGGCTATTAAAGTTGGAGAATGCTTCTATATGAAAGATGGCATCCTTATGCGAAAATGGCGACCACCTGACGCTTCCCCAGATGAAGTGTGGCGTGTTGTTCACCAGATAGTGGTCCCAGCTGCTTATCGTCGAGATGTCATGAGTTTAGCTCACGATACACCTATGGCTGGTCATTTAGGTATTAATAAGACTTATAATAGGATTTTGAGTCATTTTTATTGGCCTAAGCTAAGGAAGGATGTTTCTGAGTTTTGTAAGTCGTGTCATGTCTGTCAGATGGTAGGTAAACCGAATCAGAAGATACCATCCGCCCCTCTCCAACCAATTCCAGCTTTTGAAGAACCGTTTAGTCGAGTGTTGGTGGATTGTGTAGGACCTTTGCCTAGGACCAGATCTGGGAACCAGTATTTACTTACCATTATGTGTACATCCACTCGATTTCCTGAAGCCATACCTCTTAGGAATATAAAGGGAAAGAGCATAGTTAAGGCCCTAACCAAGTTTTTCAGTTTTGTAGGAGCACCCAAGGCAATTCAGTCGGATCAAGGCTCAAATTTTATGTCGGGGTTGTTCCAGCAAGTCATGCATGAGTTGGGTATTAGGCAGTATAGATCAACTGCTTATCATCCCGAGTCCCAGGGGGCGCTAGAACGTTTTCATCAAACCCTAAAAACGATGCTGAAGACCTATTGTTACCAGTATGAAAAAGACTGGGACGAAGGGGTTCATCTTGTGCTATTTGCTGCACGAGAGGCAGTCCAGGAGTCTCTTGGGTTTAGTCCATTTGAATTGGTGTTCGGTCATACAGTTAGAGGTCCTTTGAAATTGTTGAAGGAAAAGTGGCTGACTGAGACTAGTGATCTTAATCTTTTAGATTATGTGTCTGATTTCAAAGAAAAACTTTACAATGCTTGTAAATTAGCACAAGAAAATTTGAAGAGTTCTCAGATGAAAATGAAAATGTGGTATGACAAAGATGCAAGAAATAGGGTGTTTAAGCCAGGTGATAAGGTTCTTGTATTTTTACCTATTCCTGGTCATCCTTTACAGGCCAGATTTTATGGCCCTTATGAAATTGAAAGCAAGATCAGTGATGTAAACTATGTAGTTAAGACACCAGGTCGACGTAAAGAGAAACGGGTTTGTCACATTAACATGTTAAAAGAGTATTTTGAAAGGTGTGACCGAAATTCTGTAAAACCAGTTTCCACTTTAGCCAACGCTAAGACTGTTCAAAATTGTATTGAGAGTGATATGAGTGTAGAGATGAATGAGAAAGATTGTAATCAGAGTGTCCGCTTGAAAAACTCAGAAATTTTGGCTGACTTTGATTCCAAACTTGGACATTTGAACATTCACCAAAAAGAACAAGTTAAAAAGTTGACGAGTGAGTATCATCACATCTTTTCGGATGTTCCAAAGAAAACTAATGCAGCTTGTCATGATGTCATAGTGGGTGACGCTCTGCCTATCAAACAACATCCGTACCGTCTCAATCCAATAAAACTGCAGTACCTAAGAAGGGAAGTGCAGTATATGTTGGACAATGACATTGTTGAACCTAGTAAAAGTAATTGGAGCTCACCGTGTATTCTTGTACCAAAACAGGACGGTTCCTACCGATTATGTACAGACTTTAGAAAGGTGAATTCTGTTACCAAAACTGATTCATATCCAATACCTAGAATTGATGACTGTATTGACAGCATTGGAAACGCCAAATTTGTCAGTAAATTTGACCTGTTGAAAGGCTACTGGCAAGTGCCGTTAACAGAAAGAGCAAAAGAAATATCTGCTTTTGCTACACCAGATGGACTTTACCAGTATAAAGTAATGCCTTTTGGCATGAAAAACGCACCGGCTACATTCCAAAGGATGATTCACTCCCTTCTTCAAGACCTCGAGGGATGCGAGGCCTACATTGATGATGTCGTCATATACAGCGACACATGGGACGAACATCTCCGAATCATGCGTGCTTTATTTGACATTTTAGCTAAAGCAAACTTAACTGTGAACCTTGAGAAGAGCGAATTTTGTCATGCTTATGTAGAGTATTTAGGTCATAAAGTAGGTCAAGGTTATGTTACACCAATTATGGCTAAAGTGGAAGCTATTGCAAAGTTCCCGATTCCTACAAACAAGAAAGAGTTAATGAGGTTTTTGGGCATGGCTGGGTTTTACAGAAAATTTTGTCCAAATTTTTCCTCAGTAGTTAGTCCACTTACAAATCTTTTACAAAAGAGGGTTAACTTTGAATGGACAAAGGACTGTGAAAAATCCTTTCATAAAATCAAATCTGTCCTTATGAGCAACCCAGTTCTGTCAACTCCAGATTTCTCTAAGCAGTTCAAGCTTACTGTTGATGCTAGTGATGTTGGAATCGGGGCAGCTTTGTTTCAAGAACATAGTGATAAGGTAGATAGAGTTGTTTCTTATTTTTCAAAGAAACTTACAAAATGTCAACAAAAGTATTCCACCATTGAAAAGGAATGCCTTGCTTTGTTGTTAGCTTTACAGCATTTTGATGTTTATTTGAATGTTACTTTGCATCCAATTCTTGTATATACTGATCACAACCCCCTGACATTTTTGCATAAAATGTCAAACAAGAATCAAAGACTGACTAGATGGAGTTTGTTGTTACAAGAATACAACATAACAATTAGGCATATCAAAGGCAAAGACAATGTTATTGCAGATGCCTTGTCCAGAGTATCGTGAACATATATGATTTTGTATTAATGTACATATATTTCATTTTAACAATATAAGTTTTCATTGACATTCAAACTTTTTAAGGGGGGAGGTGTTGTGAGATGTGTTGTATTTGTATTGTTTCATCTTGTATATTATTAGTAACATTAAGCTTCTTGAACATTCCAGAGTGGTCAATATGTTTGGTCATTTTTTTCTAGAACATTCTTGAACTTTGTTTATGTCTAGAACTTTCCAGGAATATCATGTATTTACAATTTCTAGAATATTCTAGATTTATGATACTGTATAAATACCCTGTCAATTCGATGCATAGATACATTGTCGTATAAGCATCATTGAGGTATTACTGGGATATAATTTCACTGGGACATTGTGTGCAGCAACGGACACTCTGATGTATGTATTTTTAGATTTTTGCTAAGTTTGTACTTAATGATTTGTATATTACTGTAAATAAATTATTGTTAAGTTTAAACTGTGTGATTGATCTTTGCTGGCATTTAGGGTTATTCTGACCCATAACACAGTTTTCAAGATCCCTCAGGCTATTTTCCATTTGCCCCGGGGCATTTTTTCCCAAACTTTTTGATTGCAAGAAAAACATAAAAAAATGAGGGTATGGATTACGTATTGGTCCTTTCTCTATCATATCCCAGCAGGAAAATTTTTGCTCCGATTACAATTCCCAAAAAATTAGAATATTGAAATATTTTTCAGAAAGGAGCATGTATTAATCTTTTGGGTTTGTTTGATATATAACTGAGTTATCTGGGCCAGGAATTTTCTGCAAGTCCCACAGTTTTCAAGATTGCTCAGGCTTTTTTCCCGGGCATTTCTTTTCAACTTTTTTACTGCAGGAAATACATGAAAAATGAGGGTATCGATAACGCAATGGGTTTTTCTCTATCATGTTCCAGCAGGAAACATTCTGCTCCGATTCTTGAAAGTGACGGTATTTGTCCAAAAATAAAAAATGACAATTCCCAAAAATTAGAATTTTGAAATATTTTATATTCAGAAAGGAGAATGTATTGCTTGTAGGACTGTATATTATGTAACTGAGTTATCTGGGCCAGGAATTGATTAAAGAATTTCCTGCAAGTCTCAAAGTTTTCAAGAAACCTCAGGCTATTTTCCATTTGCCCCGGGGCATTTCTTTTCAACTTTTTTACTGCAAGAAATACATGAAAAGTGAAGGTATGGATAATGCAATGGTCCTTTCTCTATCATGTCCCAGCAGGAAGCATTCTGCTCCGATTCTTGAAAGTGACGGTATTTGTCCAAAAATAAAAAATGACAATTCCCAAAAATTAGAATTTTGAAATATTTTTTAGAAAGGAGCATGTATTGGGGTTGTTTATTCTGTAACTGAGTTATCTGGACCAGGAATTGATCAAAGAATTTTCTGCAAGTGTCACAGTTTTTAAGATCCCCAGGCTATTTTCAATTTACCCTGGGGCATTTTTTCCAAACTTTTTTACTGTAAGAAAAGCATGAAAAATGAGGGTATGGATTACGTATTGGTTGTTTCTCTATCATATCCCAGCAGGAAAATTTTTGCTCCGATTTTTCAAAATGACCGTATTGATCCAAATAAAAAAAAAAAAAATTACAATTCCCAAAAATTATTATATGAGCCGTCCCATGCAAAAAGGGCCCTTAAGGTCATTTTTATGAAAATTTGATTTTTGAGTGATTTTAATAGTACTTCTTCTAAAATACAAAATTCCAAAGCTTGAATCAGAAATTCCAAAAAATGTATGAATTATGAACAAATTTATTAACTCTCAAAATGACAACTTTGACGTTGACTTCATAGTGACGTCGCAGAAAAAGTGACGTCGAGGAACCTCCAAATGTCATTCTTCGTTTAATAATGGGGGGCATGTAACATCCCTGAACTCTGGTCTGACATATGGCCTGATGTGTTTAAACAAATATGACTGCCTTTCTCTGCTTAAACCTCCCGGTAATATTTTCTGTGGAAAATCCCCAGGCGCATCTTTATCTGTTAAGGCAATAGGGACCTCTTGGCTATCTACATCTGTTTTGCAAAAGACAACTCCTGTTTGCAAAGCTGAAATCCGAAAATGGTGGAATTTTCTTATACCTTTTATTAGTTTGAAGTGATTTTTCACAAACTCCTTCCAGTTGTAATAAGCCAGGTTCCTGTCCTGTACGATTACAGCTTTATTGCCATGAGAAGATTTGTTAACTACTTCAGCGAGATGCTCTATTGTGTCACAATCTGCCCTAAAATGGTTTGAAAATGAGCCGTGATTCATATAACGCATCTAGTCTATATTAAAAAAAATAAGGCATCTAGTCTATATTCCAAAAAAAAAAAATAATGCATCTAGTCTATATTCAAAAAACTTTTTTTTTTAAAATAAGTAACTCAAATTACCTTCGATATTTCTTTTTGATCTGTGCAAAGCCTGCATCAACTTGGCATTTGGTGTGCCCAGGAACTTGCATGTTTAACTCAATGGCCCAGTGTAGTCCAACCATGACTCGCCAAAGTAAGTATCCTTTGGTGTATCTGTTTTTGTTCTGTCCTGAAATAAATCAAATTAAATTAAAAGCTGATACGTATAATTTTTATTTTTTTTCTTTGTGTTAATTCTTTCAAAGCTAGTGGAATTTATTTCTAAATAATTCTACTGGAATGTAAATGAGGCAGATTGATAGGTTAGTCCTGAGCTAAGGAGGCCAAATTCATGTAAATCTCGTTCGGCTCGCTTTGTTTAAAGTCAATTGTCGAGGACTATTGAAATTGGCATGGAAGTCCTCGTGTACATTAAATATATTAGTCTACATCTTTAAAATCTAAATCTACACTTTTATTACTATTAATGATGCATTGGCATACTATACTAACTAGACAGTGATTCCTTTAGTAATTTCACACAGATCTTTGAAAAAAAAATAATAAAAGCAAACACATAAAATTTAGGTGTAAGAGAATATACCTCCGCAATTGTCACAATGTAGTACCGCAGATTTCTCCCCAAACCCGAACTCTTGAAAATGATGGTGAAGGATACTCAAAACGGTATTTGGTCCATGTGTACTCTTGCCATCTTTCCCTATTGTCTTGTCCTCATCAAGGAGGTAGTTGTACTGGGTACTGGATCCTTCCATACAAATTCCAAATATTTGTATTTTTCTTGGTGTTTCAAAGAAAAGAGGTCCAACTTGCCTAGAATGGTGTGGAACAGTTACATTTTGAGCGAAATCAAACGTGTAATGAGACTTTACATATTCCGTGGAACAAGCTACATGTGGAGCATTTTCTAGGAATAAATTCCGGTGTTCTATCCTTGCTTCTTCGATGCATTTAATGTAATGTTTATGTTCTCTTTCTGCTTTATTGAGATGCTCTGTGAATAGCCGTGTGGCATCCAGCTTTTCATTTTCAGTGTGTGCATACATGATTTTAACTCTATGATGCTCACATGTACTACATACATCTGTCCTCGGTGTGGCAATCTGGATGCTGGGCAGGCACGTAGACCATATGGCATAAAAAGAGGACAACTTCACACATCGTAAATCTGAAGTGCTGCATGCTTCAGAATAACTTGCGTGCAGATCCTTCTTGGTGAGAGAGCAAGGTAAGAAAATTGGTGGTTCAGTATCCCTACCTCTTGGAGCTGCTGGCATTGGAAGGCCGTGTTCCTCAGCATATCTCTGAATAAAGCTTACAACATACTGTGTATCGTCATATTTCAGGGCATTGTGCGGTGTTTTCCCAGTATTCCCGTGTATCCGTGGCCTGATGCCGTTGGTTTTCATGTGTCTTACTAAGTTTTTGAGGTATTTTTCCCCAATGGCATGAATGAAAAGAAATGCGTCTTTACAAATCTCTCTGTCATCAAAGTTGTAATATCTTTGTCTTTTGATTTGTTTACCAGAATCATCCCCGGTGCCACTACATTTCAGCTTCCCCATAAGATGCATATCTCTCTCCTCATTTGAAAGTTCTTTCATGCAACATATATGCCCCAAAATCTCCTCAAAACTTAAGTTTGAAATACATTTCATTTGACAATGACAACCATCATTAACCTTTTCTCTAACTATTTGCTCCAAATCAGACATTGAGACATCTTCAGACTTGCTTTCTGTCGTATTAGTTTGGCAGGCATAAAGCTGACATCTGTCATGAATATCATTTTTGTTCATATCATCACTCTCACTGTCAGATGAATATTCCTCATCATCCGAACTATCACGGTCAAGCAAACTTGTTTGTGCAGAAGGGAAATATTCCCTGTGAAGCTCATCAGTTATCTGTTGAAAAATATTGATTTCGTTGAAACTAAAATGAGAGAAAGATAGAGAAACAGTATATGTGTGTTTACAAAATGATACCCTCCCTAATTTTAATTGGTTTAGAATTTTGCCCCCCCCCCCCAAAAAAAATAGGACAGGGAAATATTATTTCTATTTGAAAAATAAACTATTTGCTATTTATCTTAAACAATTTAATCAAAAGCAATGGCTATCTAGATGTAAATATATCTACAAAATACTAGTATGTGGATTGTATGCAGTAGAACCCGAAATAAATATTGATACTATTTGCAATTTTATTTGCCGATAGGCCTAAATTCAAGGTAAGAATTTATAATGCAATTTTGTTGTGTATTTTAAAGTAATTTTTACACTTCTAAAATACACCTCTTATTCAAAATATATTTCTACCTAAGAATTAGAATCTTTCCATGATTTAGTTTCCACTTTCGTAGGTCAAAATAAAAAAAATCAAATAGCGTTTCTCGTTTTCTTTTTTTTCTTCTTTTTCTTTAGGCCTTTTCTTTTCATTTTATGCGTTAAATTTATTTGTCATTGATTTATCGGTTTTTTCAGATTTAAAAATTTTGAAAAAAAAACACCAAAAAAAAAAAAAACAACTTATAATCAAACACCTTTATCGATCACATGGCAGACTTCAAGGTGTCTATAATATGTAAATTAAATAAATACTTTACTCATCGTGGTACACCTTCATCATTCGACATTAACGGGGAATAACTCTAAAAGTCTGTTAACTAACATAACGCTGACCTTGACACTTGCGGGACGTAACTCTTATAATGCATCGTGCACGAAATTCTAAAATCTCGATAATGTTTTGACCACCACGTACAGGTACGGCTAAGTAGTTAATTATGATGGTTGAAAATGACCTGTATATAAAGACATTTTTTTTAATTATTTTTTTTAATTATACGTAACAATGCATTGAAAAATTTGCAAGTTATTGTCCTCCAGTCAACCAGTGCTGTCAACATGATGTACATGTACGGATGTAAACAAGATTATAACAAACAACCGGACAAATTTGATTATAATAAAGTGATCATTTTATTCAAGTCAGTTTATATAATGCAATTACATGTAAGCGTATTTCTGCATACATGTATCTGATAATGTTGTTTACGGTAAATAGCACTGTACAGCTGTAGTGCGATCTTTTATTTGAATGTAAATATTGCCGCATTGCTTCGTGAATTTATTATGTCACAGGTGGGGATCCAGGAATTTATTCAGCTAGTAATTAAATATTTTCAGCAAAATATCTTTCTGTAATTATTATAAACATAGTTTCTTTTTCTAATTATTAATATTACCTCTAAAAAGTCCATCACTGACACTGTGGCATTCTCATTTTCTTCTTATTTCTGCAGACGTCAAATTAATCTTTGCAAACTATGACGTTAATTTTTGGCGACGTTTTTTCTCAATTATGACGTAATACCAATAAGGGCCCTTTTCACATGGGACGGTTCATATTTAAATATTTTTCAGAAAGGAGCATGTATTAATCTTTTCGGTTTTTTGATATGTAACTGAGTTATCTGGGCAAGGAATTGATTGAAGAATTTTCTGCAAGTCTCACAGTTCTCAAGATTGCTCAGGCTATTTTCCCGGGCATTTCTTTCCAACTTTTATACTGCAAGAAATACATGAAAAGTAAGGGTATGGATAAGCAATGGTCCTTTCTCTATCATAATCCCAGCAGGAAACATTTTCCTCCAATTTTTCAAATCGACTTTATTGTTCCAAAAATAAAAAATGACAATTCCCCAAAATTAGAATGTTGAAATATTTTTTAAGAAAGAAGCATGTATTCATCTTTTGGGTTTGTTTGATTAGTGACTGAGTTATCTGGGCCAGCAAGTCTCACAGTTTTCAAGGTCCCTTAGGCTATTTTCCATTTGCCCCGGGGCATTTCTTTCCAACCTTTTTACTGCAAAAAATACATGAAAAGTCAGTGTATCGATAACGTATTGGTCCTTCTTCTATCATGTCCAAGCAGGAAACATTCTGCTCCGATTCTTCAAAGTTACGGAATTCGTCCAAAAGAAGAAAATGACAATTCCCAAAAATTAGAATGTTGAAATATTTTTCAGAAAGGAGCATGTTATCAATCTTGTGCGACTGTTTATTATGTGACTGAATTATCTGGACCAGGAATTGATTAAAGAATTTCCTGCAAGTCTCACAGGTTTCAAGATCCCTCAGGCTATTTTACATTTGCCTGGGGAATTTTTTCCCAAACTTTTTTACCGAAATTTACGAAAAATGAAGGTATGGATAACGTATTGGTCCTTTCTCTATCATGTCCCAGCAGGAAATATTTTGCTCCGATTCTTGAAAGTGACGGTATTAGTCCAAAAATAAAAAAATGACAATTCCCAAATATTAGAATATTGAAATATTTTTCAGAAAGGAGCATGTATCAATCTTTCGGGTTTGTTCGATATGTAACTGAGTAATGTGGGCCAGTTATTGATTAAAGAATTTCCTGCAAGTCTCACAGTTTTCAAGGTCCCTCAGGCTATTCTCCATTTGCCCCGGGGCATTTTTCCCCAACTTTTTTACTGCAAGAAATGCATGAAAAATGAAGGAATGGATATCGCAATGGCCTTTCCTCTATCATGTCTCAGCAGGAAACATTTTGTTCCGATTTTTTCAAAATGAATTCTCAAAAATTAGAATATTAAAATATTTTTCAGAAAGGAGCATGTATTTATCTTGTGCGACTGTTTATTATGTGACCGAATTATCTGGGCCAGGAATTGATTAAAGAATTTCCTGCAAGTGTCACATTTTTCAAGATCCCTCAGGCTATTTTCCATTTGCCCGGGGGCATTTCTTTCCAAACTTTCTTACTGCAAAAAATACATGAAAAGTGAGGGTTTGGACAACGTATTGGTCCTTTCTCTATCATGTCCCAGCAGGAAACATTCTGCTCCGATTCTTCAAAGTGACGGTATTGATCCAAAAAAAGAAAATGACAATTCCCAAAAATTAGAATATTGAAATATTTTTCAGATAAGAATATGTATCAATCTTTTGGGATGGTTTAATATGTAACTGAATTATCTGGGCCAGGAATTGATTAAAGAATTTCCCGCAAGTGTCAACAGTTTTCAAGATCCCTCAGGCTATTTTCCATTTTGCCCCGGGGCATTTTTTCCCAAACTTTTTGATTGCAAGAAAAACATGAAAAATAAGGGTATGGATTACGTATTGGTCCTTTCTCTATCATATCCCAGCAGGAAACATTTTGCTCCGATTTCCCAAAATCACGTTATTGGTCGAAAAATAAAAAAATGACTTTTCAAAAATTACAAGAATATTAAAATATTTTTCAGAAAGGAGCATCTATCAATCTTCTGGGGCTGTTTGATATGTAATAAAGTTCTCTTGGCCAGAAATTGATTAATAAATTTCCTGCAAGTCTCACAGTTTTCAAGATTCCTCAGGCTATTTTCCATTTGCCCCGGGGCATTTCTTTCCAACTTGAAATACATGAAAAGTGAAGGTATGGATAATGCAATGGTCCTTTCTCTATCATGTCCCAGCAGGAAACATTTTGCTCCGAATTTTCAAAATGAATCTATTGTTCCAAAAATAAAAAAGTGACAATTCCCAAAAATTAAAATATTATAATATTTTTCAGAGAGGAGCATGTATCAATCATCCGGGACTGTTTGCTATGTAACTGAATTATCTGGGCAAGGAATTGATTAAAGAATTTCCTGCAAGTCTCACAGGTTTCAAGATCGCTCAGGCTATTTTCCATTTGCCCGGGGCATTTCTATCCAACTTTTTTACTGCAAAAAATACATGAAAAGTGAAGGTATGGATAACGTATTGGTCCTTTCTCTATCATGTGTCAGCAGGAAACATTTTGCTCCGATTTTTCAAAATGACCGTAATGATCCAAAAAAAACAAAAACAAAAAAAAAAAACAAAAAAAACAAATGACAATTCCCAAAAATCAGAATATTGAAATATTTTTCAGAAAAGAGCATGTGTCAATCTTTTGTGGTTATTTATTATATAACATATCTCAGGCTATTTTCCACTTGCCTGGGGGGCATTTTTTCCCAACCTTTTCACTGCAAGAGAATATGAAAAATGAGGGTATGGATAACGTATTGATCCTTTCTCTATCATGTCCTAGCAAGAAATATTTTGCTCCGATTCTTCAAAATGACGGTATTTGTCCAAAAATAAAAAATGACAATTTCCAAAAATTAGAATATTGAAATATCTTTTGGGTTTGTTCGATATGTAACTGAGTAATGTGGGCCAGTTATTTCTTGCAGTAAAAAAGTTTGGGAAAAAATAGGGGAAGTGGAAAACAGCCTGAGGGATCTTGAAAACTGTGAAACTTGCAGCAAATTCTTTAATCAATTCCTGGCCCAGATAACCCACTCACATATCAAACAAACCCAAAAGAATAATACATGCTCCTTTCTAAAAAATATTTCAATATTCTAATTTTTAGGAATTGTCATTTTTTATTTTTGGAACAATGAAGTCATTTTGGAAATCGGAGCAAAATGTTTCCTGCTGGGACATGATAGAGAACGGACCATTGCGTTATCCATACCCTCACTTTTCATGTATTTCTTGCAACAGAAAAGTTGGAAAGAAATGCCCGGGAAAATAGCCTGAGAAATCTTGAAAACTGTGAGACTTGCAGAAAATTCTTTAATCAATTCCTGGCCCAGATAACTCGGTTACATATCAAACAAAACCAAACGATTAATACATGATCCTTTCTGAAAAATATTTCAATATTCTAAATTTTGGTAATTGTCATTTTCTTTTTTTGGACCAATTCCGTCACTTTGAAGAATCGGAGCAGAATGTTTCCTTCTTGGACATAATAGAAAAAAGGACCAATATGTTATCCATATCAAACAAACCCAAAAGATTAATACATGCTCCTTTCTGAAAAATATTCTAATATTCTAATTTTTGGGAAT